CAGGCTGAACAAGCCCAGCTCCCTCAGCCTCTCCTCGTAGTGGAGATGCTCCAGTCCCCTCACCATCCTTGTAGCCCTCCGCTGGACTCTCTCCAGTAGCTCTAGGTTTGTGTCTAGTAGGTTTGTGTTCTCGCCGTGCGGAAATCGCAAGTGAAGCAGAGAACGTGGTTGGTGCCCCTTGTTGTTTACCTGTTTGTGCAGTCTAGGAACAAAACCCGAGGAGCTGGCTCTGTAAACTCCTTGGAACTAAGCAGATTCTAATGATGTTCTTAGTAGCTTGTTATTCTTCAAAAAGCTGACAGTTTTGTGGTTATGTCTTTGATCTACCAACTGGCTATTCCTGAGCTGGAGTTAATTTTTAGGAGTGTTTGTTTTGTTCGAGCGCTTTCCAGTAAAAGCAGAAAGTAAGGAAGTCAATAGAAATAAGCATTAAAACGTAGGTTTTCATTTGTGTGTCTTGGTCAAACAGCGCGGTACCCAAGTCTACAGGAAGAATTAGGAGGGTGGATCCAGCTCTTCTCAATAGTGCAAGCTTCTTCATACCATTTGTCCATTGCCCAGTGTGAGCAGGAATTTTTAGGAACTCAAAGGGTTTTCTGAGCAGCATATGAGAGATTTTGCCTTATTTTTGGTTTGGTATGGCTGAGTGTGTGTTTCTGGCGGTGCCTGCGGCGTAATCTGCAGAGCGACGTTTACCTCAGCCTTGTTTGGCTAGAAATCTTCCCGGAGCAGCTGGAATTCAGGATGCGCTTTTTGCTGGCAGAATTAGTACGTCTTAAAGTCTCTTACCTGTTTTTTGATGTTGCTTGGCTTTTAATGCGTCGGTGTTTCGCTGTGAACAACCTCCAGGTGAAAGACCGCTGAATCTCCGCGTGTCAAATCTGCCGAGCAGACAGTTGCAGCACATTCCGCTTGATGGAGAGCAGCACGCTGGAAAACCCCTGTGCAGCGACCTGATCCGGCTTTACCCCAGCGGTGAGGCAAAGTCCCAGTCCTCGGGTTAGTGCTGGCGCTTGTGAACGACCCACCGTCGTATTACTGTGTCGTATTCTTTGGGAAAAGCTCAGAGGATAAAAAGAGATTTTATTCTGGTCTATAAGCACCTAGCTCTGTTTCTATGCTGTGAACCAAACCATGCAGTAAATGTTTTGATCCGGGTTTCCCGTTCACTGACCTCTGCTCGCTGGCAATCTTGTCGTTTACCTCTGGCGCTGGGAGAAACTCGTTCTTGGTTCGATAGAAGGCAGCGAGAATCCTCTGTGAAATCCATCCGGGTGGCTTCGGTGTAATGCTGAGATGAAGCCAGGGATTCCTGAGGCTCTCGCAGCTTCAGGAATAATAATAAAATCCCATCTGAGTTCGGGAGATGCAACGGGAAAGAGGTTATGTGAAAGACAAGATGCAGAAGTAGTTGTTTTGCAGACTGGGCGGAATCTTGCATCTTCCGCTTTGGTGCATCGCAGTCTGCGCTCGTCTTCTTGCGGTTTGTCCCGATCGCAGCGGTAATTCACGTTGTGAAATTTCTAGCTGGGGCTTTTCACTGATTCCCTTTCAAAATGCAAGCGAAGAGCGCATCTCCACGGAGCCCTGCTCCCGGAGAGAGCTGAAGCAAGTCTGCGGCGATGGCTCTGTCGTCACTGCGACGTAACTGGGGTGGTTCTGACCCAGCAGAGGCAGGATCTGTTGCTTCAGCTGTTTGTTGGAGTACCTGTATGGTTCATGGACCTTTCTGTTGAATTAAGAACAGAATATATTTGTTTCCAAGCACTGTTTTTAACATCTTCTTTCTTTCTTTCTTTTCTTAACGCAGAAGGCCTTGGTATTTTAAAGGATTTTCCTCATTCGGCTTTTAACAACATAGAAAGGAAGGTCATTAAAACAGAACCTGAAGACACAAGATAGTCGCTCTGCTCTGGAAAACGGGGTCGTAGTAAAGAACGAAACTTCACAAGAGAGAAAAAAAAACCAGCCTTAATAACCAGTGTTGCCTCATTCAAATAAGAGATTTCAATAGCCAAAGCCTAAGAACTGGTACAGTAATCTGTGGAAACAGGAAAGCGAGAGACACTGCAAACTAAATCAGTAATACAGGTGGATAAACATTCCTGTTCGAGTGGTTTTGTAACGTGGGAAGACTCACAAATTAATATTGTGGGGGCTTCATTATTTAAGAATGTATTATGTATTTGTATAACTTATCAAAGTAAATCTAGATGTCGGGACGTGTATTGAGTCCAGTAGATGTGGCTACAGTTCATTTTACTTGAAATTTCAATGTCTACTTTCAGTGTACCTAGCGTAGATATGGTGGTTCAACATTTGAATTAAAAATCCTTGGAGAATTAGGAGTGCGAACCTCGTGACGCAATTAACAGCGAGTTTGCAAAGAAATCTGTAGAAAAAAAAAACGGGAAAACGCGTAAAATGTTTCCTGGTTTCAAGTTATTACGTGGATATAGAATTTGGTAGCCCCAGACCCCGATTCTGTGTCGTAGCGGACGTACGTGACACTTCGCTCCCGTGAGATCGCTTCCAGCGGTTTCGGCAGCCCGCGTGTCAGGCGCTGACGGCGTAACGCCCACCCGCCTGCGGTTCGGGAGTTTGGAGGGTACGGGGGAGCCCGCAGGCTGGCTCCCGTCCCCTGGGGGAAAAACTGCGGTTGGACGCGCTGTGGAATTGCTAAAATCCCCTTTGGTGGGGAACCCAAGAGACCAAGTAGCGTGGACGGGGCTGCGAGAGTTGTGGCTGAGACCGTTATAACTTTTTTGGACTTCTCTGTGGATCTTTTAAAAAGGGAGTGGGGGTGGGGAGCATCCTAGGCGTGGCAGAGACGAAACACGATGCAGGATTTACGCGTCGGTGCGACAGGTTGCACTTGATACCCAGAAGATCTTTCGGAGGCGAGGAGTTACGCCTTGAGCACGCAGCTCCCGATGAAGCGCTGTCCAGCCCAGATGATTCTATGAATATCCCGTATACTGCGTACAGTACGCCAATACGTTTCGTTATGTGTGTGATGAATTAACATCTGTACTCTTTATTTATTTGATGGTTTTTTATTGGTTTTTTTTTTTTTTTCTTTTGTACATTTTCGCTTTGGCAGATGTCATTTTATCTAAGGAGAACTGGTCGGCGTATAACTTTGGAACTTACCGCAGGCGCGTTTGTGCGCATCCATGTCCCCTCCGCGCAGCTCCCTCGATCAGAGTCGCTCTCCTGCTGTCACGATAGTTCTACGCCTGGGTTTCTGAACCCGTTTTTATTTTGCCTCCGGCGCGTTTTGGAGGGGAGAGGTAGGGCTGGAGCAAGCCAGCTGCCGTGCCAGC